TTTTTCAATTATATATCGATCATTTTTATTTATAAGATCTTTTATATGAAGATCATATGTTGATTGAAAATTTGTATGAAATTCTTTATTAATATATAATAATATTGGATCCCAAGATTTAATTTGTAATTGTCGAAGTTCTTCTGGTTGATCTGAACGATAAAGTAATGTATCCCAATCAAGAAAATGCATTAATTTTTCTATAAGTTGATTTTTTGTAAATTTTAATGGATTATCAATAAATGTATTTATTAAAGAATATAAATGCATTGATGATAAATCAATTTTTTTATATTGTTGATTCCATTCTTGTGCAAGTGCTAATGCAAGAAATTCATTTTCAATTGTTATTATATTACCTAATGGTGTTTTTAATTTATGTTGATCAAGTAAAATTTCATATTTTGTTGGTATTTGTGATGATTCAACAACAGATACTTTTTTATAAAAACGTTTTCGATCACGATTTGTTAAACCAAAATTTGTTGATGTTGAACGATAACATAAACGAATTATGGATGAATTTAAACGGGGAAATAAAAAACGATTCATCTAAAATTATTTTTTATATTATAATATATAACAAAAAATTTTGCATATTTTATTGTTAGATATGATTGAATATTTCAATAGATTATGATATCAAAAATAATTGAAATCATTAGTATATTTGTACTCAATGATTTAGAGACAATTGTTATACATCAATCTTAACTAAAATACGCATTCAATGAAATAGAAGATTCGTATACTCAAATAGATTTACTAATATTATGAATCTATGTGAATAGAGTAATAAATATTATGTTTGTTGAAATAGGGATAACATCATTGAAATTATGTATTAGTTAAGTCTCCAAAACTAAAGTTTAGTTTTATACTTAGAGAAATACGGCATCAATAAATGGATATGTCTAACGACCAATTAAAAATCATATATCTTTGTACTTTTTGCAGAATATTAAAATCATATAGAGATCGCTATTGTATGCTTCGAAATTTGTATAATAATCGTATATGTCACCACCCGTAAGATTTGATCAAAATTAGATAAGACATTGATCTTAGATCTAAAAAGATGTGCGTTTTTTTTTGTACAACAGGTTATAAAAACAGTGATGAAGTTTAGTGAGAGAACTTTAGATCTACTGGGGGATTCAAGTTAGAGGATTATATTATTTGAATGAGAAAAATGTATTTTCGGAAGAATTTCTTAGAAAATTATTTTAGCTTATTTAAAATTAAACGCTTGAAATTCACTGTCAAAAAGTATAGCAATCAATCAATCGATGATGAAAATGATCTTTGTGATCGCATGAAAGCAAAAATATCACTATATATTCAATCTTTCTTGATTGATTCAAAACAAAATTAGATATAATGTTTTATTCAAATTTAGAGTTAGTCACAAGTTTCGTTTTAGCAAATGTTAATTTTCTTTATGTTCGAAGAAAAGTTTCACAGTTAATAAGGATTTATCTTTTGCCGTTTACTTGGAAGAAAAACTCGTGCTGTAGAAGATTATTCTAACTACAACAATTAATAATTGGCCATATGACAAGAGTACTGTTGAACTGTTTCTCTCATTTTGAATCAAAAATTATTTATTTAGGAATCAGATTCTGATCGTACGTCAAAAGATAGGTTAAAATCATAATACTTTTCATTGATTGTGTTCTGCTTTTTTTGGTGAATTTCTTCGACTTATTATGCTGATTAAACAACAGTCAGCGTAATCCCTGAGAGAATAAAATGTCAAACATAATGTAGATGCTCTTAATAATCACCGGAAGGTGGACATATATTCTTCATTTTTTTCACTTAATCTTTCAAAAATACAATAAGGAAGTAGTTCATAAAAAAACGTTATTGATAAACGGTGTCTTACTTGCATCTGTTACAGTTTACGAAGGGGAAGTCTAAATTTTTACTTTTATACTTCAAATTTCTTGTTAGATCTTATTTCAGAAAATATTTGGCTAGCAACATCTTTCACAGTAAAACGAAGTATTAGTTATATGTCTATTTTAATTTGAATGTTAGACGCAAATTGAAAATTCTCGTCAGTTGTTATAGACTAACTTGTTCTTCAAATAAACTATTTAATAATTTTCTGAAAGTCAAAAGTACTCTATGTCATGTGTACCAAGCACCATTTTAATTAACTGTATGGTGGATCTTGACCACATATGACATCAGGTGGACTATAGTTTTATGGTTCAACGTTGAGAGAATCGAATCAGTTTTTTATAGCATTGATTAACAGTAATAATACCAGAATTCCAAAACAACTAATTTTCGGTTTTCTGTAAATTCAATTTTCTCGATTAGCATATCAAGTAATATAGTTGAGTTACAACATAATTGATTCAACATGGTGAATTTCTTTGGGCAGTTCACCAATTGCTGAAATTCACATTGATGAAATTACGATTCTCCTTTTCGAACACTATATTCATTGACATCGTGATTTTTCAATACACAAAGGAACAAAAAAAAGAGAAATGATTGACCCATCATTTTTGACTCAGATGATGTGTGTAAGGTGTAGTGCGATGCTACTGATATGTTTATTTGTTGCTTGACATATTGTAGCCGCTTTTGTGAGCAATTGAAAGAGGTTTATTCATGCATCTTTCTGCATTTATTGTTCAAAGTCGCTGCAATTGTAAAACCGTGACTACATACGTTTTATCATATTGTCAACTCTTATGAAAATTTCATGTTCATTGATGCATTACCTTTTCCATTAACTTCTTGTTCACTGAAAGGTCTCAACTTCAATGATTTTCAACATTCAACACGACGTCTATAATGTTTCTTTAGAAAAATCTATCAATTGAAGTTACTTAAAAAATAAAACTAAATATATAAATCTTCTTCAAATTGATATGAATAAATTTTGAAGAATTTCAAAAAGAAATATTTACTTTAATTTACAGAAACAAGAAACTAATCTAAAACTTATATTCAAATAATTACAAAAGGTAAGACTTGGCATATTTACTTTTAAAACCGAATTTCTGACTGTTCGAACTTTACGTTGTCAGCATTGAATTCGTTTGAATAAACCGATGGTTCCCTTATATTGAATATTCTTGATTTTGATTTCTTTGATTTATTGATAAATATTCAAAATTGACAGACTATTTGATGTAGTCGATTCACTTTCTATCTACATTTTGATAACTTCACATTTGAGGATGAGCTGATCACTTATATTAAAATAGCGAATGAGACCCTGGTTACCAGTTATCGTTTCGATGTTTTAATTATTGAACACTCGATAAATACATGAGAAGCTTTTCAACCAGTATTAGATTTTGAACAGACATTTTGTGAAAATCATATAGTTAAATATAGCGTTTAAAACATTCTTCAAATACGAATATTTATTTCCGATAATAGATGATGACAATGTATGCACTAGAGGGTAAACTAAAGCCATGGGAACAGATGAAGATCTGAATAAGAAGAAGAAAAGATACATTTAGATAGAGATCTTCTTTTACGCACTGCATCACATTAAAAATAACCTATTTT